GAGAAAAAAGTCAGCAGCGCACGAGGTACCAAACTCGATAGTATTGCCCCTGGAGGCAGTCGTAGCACACAAGGGTAGAGTCATCAACGACCTGTCGTTCGATCTATTCAACCGAGAGAATGAGGGAGGTTTCAACGCGGACACGGACATAGCGGCGTGGATACCGTGCAACTGTTGCCAGAAGGTGTAGAGATGACGAAACATATCACAATAGTGGACCGTTGGGAGACCGGCGACCCCACGCCCGTGCCACCCGAAGTCAAGGTCCGTGCAAGTAAGGAGGGAAACTTGTCAAGCCCGTTTCAAACAGTCGCGTATGTGGACGACCACGCCCTACTTCGAGCACAACAATCGGATGAAGATAAATCCGTCCTTGACGTATCCGCCTCCCTCGCGTCGGATTATGGACGTTTGTTTGGGCCTGGAGAAGCAGGCGAGACATCGATCTTGGCGCCCAAAAAGAGCTCGAAATGGGATACCGAGTTCGAATTTTTGGGTTTTTGGATAAATTCTCTCACCATGCAGATTTCCATCACCGCAGAAAAGGCACAAAAGATAAAAACTATCCTGGTGGACAATTAGCCGCGCGGTAGACGTCAAGCGACAGCGCAGGAGGTGTTTTCGCTTGCAGGAAAGTTATGGAATCTGACGTACGTGATTCGCGCCGGAAAGTACTTCGTGTGGAGGCTGCAACGACTCACAGATCTGCACTCGTCGCACAAGAACCAGAGCCACTCGGTAACGTTAGGAACAGAGTCCCACGACGACCTAGAACTTTGGAGATGGGCAATAGACCAAGAACTTTTGAAAGCCGGGGAATGTATCAGCGCACCGTGCTTCGCCACAGTCAACCGTCCGGCAAAGAGAAACTACCTATCAGATGCTAGCTTCGATGCGATAGGTGGATACTGCCGAGAGCTGAGAGTGTACTGGAGATACGACTTGCCCCTGCCTTTCTTGGCCGAACTAAAACGAATGGCCGCATGTCGTGAGAGGTCTAGCGTCACGATCAACCTGCTCAAACTGGTTCGGATGGTTGAAATCGCGTAAGTCATGCACGAGCTCGTAGGGGACCGCCGAAAAAATACAGGCGACCCGATTCGAATGCGCGGAGACAACTTCGCAGCCGTAACGTGCTCAAACCGATGCGGCGGAGCAAGAGATACACGCGCATGCCTGATGGTGAGAATGCTTGGCCGCCTCGATATCAAAGGGAGCTGGAGATACGACGCCAAACACATACCAGGCATACAAAACACGCTAGCGGATGGCTTTCACGATGGCCGCGCTCCGAAGTGGCGTACAGAGTGCGACAGTTGACGAACAATGACCACTGACGTGAACAATCAATAGGAGCAGCAGGTGATCGCCTTTTCGAGATCTTGCTGCAGACAAAAAACATCGCTCCTCGTCACGACAGCATGTTGTGGGGGCTAATGACAGCCGCATGAAAAAGAAAAAGTGCTTACCTGTAATTGCGCTGTCCGTTGACGCCTTCCCTCTCGCCATTCGGAATGAATTCCAGGAACAGGGAAAGAGAATGGGGGGATGAGCTCGGAAGTAGCAAGTTTGGTGGAGTCTCTCGTGCACGCGGCTGTCGGAGGCAGCACGCATAAGGTGCATGCCGGGAAGATGAAGCGGTTGGAATTCACTACAAGGAAAGGGAGAGGGCCATGGTTGCATGTGATGAACGAGTCAGAGGTGCTCAATCTTATGCTCGAAGTCATGGCCTGCCGACTGTTCGTGTTCAACAACTAGCAATCCACTGTTAGAGGGTAGCTTTCAGCCATCAAGTTTTTCCACAAGTTACAGCTAGGGTGGGAGCTCTCTACGTCCCACTGCATGATCGTAGCGTCTGGGAAAGGGATCGACGGATCCGTGGGGGGTCTGGAAAGGAATCCCAAGTAAGTTTGCCTCTCGCGTGGGCCATCCTAGCCCACGGCTGCCTCGCGGTTACGAGTTTCAAGGAGGGAGGAAAAGTCGCGCGGCTGGGATTGGCACTGTCGTACTTTCTAATATGTAGAGCCTTGGAACTATTCGCGCACGCGAACGTGCTCGCGCACCCGGAATTTTGCGTGACGCGCGACTGCGTGACTTTCTCTCTCTGAGACACTCAGGTCAGGATCGAGGATAGAGCACGCGCCGATACCGTCAAGATTCGCTTCGTCGCATCGAAAACGGATCAGTTGCGGGAAGGGTGCACGATCACACGCACGCGCGCGCGAGAAGGGGAGGGGACCGGTGGGGCACCGGTAGGGGCGTTTGAGGCGCTGGTGGAGCTCCTCGATGAAAACCCTCAACTACCTGGAGGCTCTCCGTTGATGACGAGACTCACGACAGCGGGATGGAAAGTGATTACCAGAACGGAAGCCGTTGGCGGCTTGCGAATGATGGTAGCCAGCGCCGGAAAAAATCCAGCCCAGTACGCCCTGCAGTCGGGCGGATTGGGGGAGCCACGCAGCTAGCCGCGCAAGGAATGTCAGAGCTGAAAATTCAACGCGCAGGCCGTTGGAAGTCGCGGGCTTTTATGGTTTATGTGAGAGAGGCAGGAAAATGTGCCAAAGAAGTGTCTGCCGCACTAGCAAAGGAGTAGCAACACGTCGAGGGTAAGATATCTCAGCCTGCAATATGTGGTGAGGGTCAGGTAGCCCCACAGTGGTGGAGGCTAGAAGGGTTGGCTGAGTAATCTATTTGGGGGAATGGAGCGGAGACATAGAAGGGAATGCCCACGAGGGTTGAGGGTATGGTTTTTCTTTGATCTGTCGGTGTTCCTTACGGTGTCCCGAATTTGTCATTCAGTATGGGTGTACGAGTAGCAAACAAAAACAATGTCAAAATTCTTTAGCAAAACAAAATGTAGCGTCAGAAGGAAAGCGTTGTTTGTGTCGCGGATCAGAATTCGAAAAAAACATGGACCGGAAGGGGTTGCAGTGAGTTCTGCTCCGTAGCCCCCCCCCCGAGGACCCACGGATCAGGCCCGCCTGCAGTTCATCCTCGACACGCACCGCTCGACTGGAGGCATGCGTTTCGGCTTGAACATCGCCAAAATGGACTCCAGATCCGATGTGGACAACTTTTTCCGTGGGTTGCTGTTAGCGCCAGCAGCGCCAGCAACGCAAGCAGCGCCAGCAGTCAACGGCGTGGCGAGGATATGATGGGAAGGTAGTCCACCGAGAAAATGAACTCGTTCACTGCTGCTAGCCTCCGTTGGACGGGCTCAGGTAGTCATGCATTCATCGGAGAAAAAAAAAAAAATGTCCTGATGGGTTGTCCGAAACGTCACCAAACCTGCCGCGAAAACCGTTTTCACATGTTTTTAGCAAGAAGCTTCCAACCTGACGATTCCTGTCTTTCGAGCCAGCCACCCTCTGATCCCCGTAAGCGTAGGTGATGTTGTACCAGGAGGGTAGTGAAAACCTCGGTTTTGAACTCTGCTCCAGGTCCTCGCGAAAACAACAAAAGCAAGCATTCAGAAAAAACTCCCATATATACTTGTATATATTTTCTCCCATCATTTAACTCTGTCGTCTGCCCCTGGCCCCTATCCTCCACTTTTACTAACCAGACGACCCAACCGGGGTCACAAAGGATGTATGGGCGTGTGATATTCCGTTTTTGCTCGGAGCGAGCTTATTTTTTGGTCCAGTTGTTTTGTTGTTGTTGATTCTCACATTAGCTCTGTAGTCCACAATAAATGGGAGCCCGTGGTCTCAAAACCCGGTACATACGACGCCACGGGGAAACAAATCGGGTACAAACCACTCGGAAAAAGAAAACAAAATCATTGAAAGAAAACAACACGTACCGCACCGACCGTTTGAGAAGAGAGCCCTCGGAAACCGATCAAAATAAAACAAAAACAAAAACAAAGGAGGACGCTTCCCACACCCGCCCAAAGAAGAAATCAAAGGGGAACGTACCAGCACCAGGCACTACGCACCAGGGCATGGGAGCAACGGCGCAGGCAAGACAAAGTGGCGGCAGATGGGCAGACAGCCAGACGTGCAAAAAAAAAGCAAGCAAAAGCGAGATCAAGGTACCCAACACAGCAGAGTAGGCAGCGAGGTCATGAAAACACAACACAGAGGCCGAAGGCAATACAAAGGAGAGCCATGCTACGGTAGGGGGGTCACGTTTGTGGGCCCATGTTACACTGCCGCTTCGATATCCGTGTCATTTGCTATGTAGTAAGCACGGTTGCTGCTATTTGTTTCCGAGTAGCTGTTCTACCCGAGTAGCTGCTCTACTCTATTCTTCCCGATATGCAAGAAGCTGGTCGACGCAAAATATCGCACAACACCAAAACGTGTGGTTCGATCGCCGAGTGATCTGTCAAAATGTCAGCCTCCATGAAGCACCGACGATCTTTTTGAAGTATAGACAAGAATGTTCTCCTTGCGCATGATGATTTATCACATTTCAACAGTAAAACGACTTACTCTTGTAGCACCTTGTAGCACCACCATCACACATCCTACGGGGGTAGCGACCCTATGCACGAGACGTGTGAAATTCAGGCACCACTGAATATCCCACGACAACCCTACCCTCACTCGACGGTCCAGCAATCAATACACATGCCACCAATGTCACCTCACAGGCCTCACTCAACCGTCCAGCAATCTCCTATGCACGTGACGTGTGAAATATGGCGACCAACGCATCGAGGTTACACCCTGCAGAACGAGCAACACTGTTCAAGAGCTAAACGAAAAACGGGCCCAACTGTTCCTTATCGACCGAGGAGCTACTTCAAGACTACATTTCATGAGGAGGACTTCTTTGTACTCCAAACTCGTTTGCACTGTAACCTCGCCTGAAGACCCGAGTATGACTACGCAAGCGCTCATCCTGCCACAATCGTGCACACAGGAGACAGGTGCGAGCATAAATCAGGTAACTCGGTGGACATCTAGTCTATCATCAACTCGACTAGGACGACAGCCGTTCGCCGTGCTCGAGGTAACCCTCATCGACATTACGCGGAACAGCAGCCAACCTCAGAACACGTGAATCTCCAGTCCACTGCAGCTCAAAGCGATGGCGTCGTTCGTCGGGGGACGTCGACAACCTTTGCCTGAATCACTCTCAAACCTTTCCACGCTGTATCCCTCCCCTGTGGTGGAGCTTTGCACCCTTTCTCCACTATTGCACGCTTCAAAAAGGCTAGGCTGGACGTGGGCCCGCCTACGATCAATTTTTCGCATTTTTGCGGGCCGGCAATCAACGAAAGCATCTTGTGGGCGCTTTGACATGAACACCAGGTTGGACCGAGCACTATCTACAACGTCACGACGCATTCGATATCTTGTGGTCAAACTTGTCCTAGAGGCTCTGGACACTTCCTCCATGTACCCCTCTATTCCCTGGCCTAGCCCTGCTAGCGAGGTGAGCGGGACCGCTCTGTTTTCGTCGACTGGAAGAACATTAGGCACGTCATACTCTACGCCCCGTACGTGTCTAAAGAAGTCGTGAATCCACACCATACCATCGCCTTCCGAAAACATGCCATCCTTCGCAAAGCTACTTGTGCGGTCGGACGGAGCCTTGCGACCGATGGTACTATGTCCTGGCCTTGGTACTCTTCTGGGCGAACACACATCAGGGCGACTGATCCATATGGTAGAGGGTTCCTCGTTCGAGTGAACATGAGTTCCATCTTCCTCTCTCTTGTGGTCTCCTCGTCGTCGTTGCTTCGTCGCCGGGACCACTCTGCTGGTGCCTCCATGATGCCTTCGCGGAACAGGTTGCACTTCTCCGTTTCTCCTTTCTGCAGAGCTCACAACTGGCGGATAACAACGCAGGTGGGTGGGACATCGAAACAAGATCCAGCAGGGGAAGGACGCCGATTGGGGCCACACTCTAAGTTATTGACAAACTAGCTCCGGAAGAAATTAAGTCACAGATATTTATCCAATCATTAGTCAAGTCACAGTTATAACCCGATCATTTTCAAGCGAGTGAATGCAGGACCACCAGACTCTGGGCTTTTCGAACGACCAGCTTCAATACACCGGTACACAGGTACTCCGAAAAGTCTTGGGTGTTGCATTTGTCGGGCGAAAGAATGACCGTGGTTCTGTCGTGAAACGTACCAGCAAGACAACCGGGAAATACCAAAATATATTTACCAGAGCAGAGCATACAGGAATTGGGCCGCGGTTAATCGACCGATCAGCGCAAATACCAAAAAACAACTATTTACCAGCAAACCATACAGGAATTCGGGTCGCGTCTATTTTCCTGTCAGCGTAAAAACCTTTTCATGAGTAGAAAATACATTCAGATCAGGAAAAAAACACCTGTTGACCAACAGAACATACGGGAACTTTTGGGTCGCGGCTAATCGACCGATAAGCGTAAATACCAGAAACAACTATTTCCGAGAACATACAGGAATTTGGGCCGCGGCTAATCGATCGATCAGTGTAGTCTAAATACCAAAAAAAGTTGCCAAGTGACAAACAAACGTTTTTCATGTTGATCTGAGCGAACGCAGGGCACCAGGCTTAGTCTACGTAGATAGCTCTTCTTGTAGCTAGCCTACGTACGGGTCATAGTAGGCGAGAGAAATCATTGGGCAAAGAAAAGACCCACGGTCTACGGGTGTAGGTAGCCACGACGCCTGGTGTTTCGGTGGCTACGATTTTGCTGATGACTTGGCATCCCTCGACCTTGATCGCCTTCGATTCGGAGCGAGAGGCGGAACGAATTGCAGGCAAAATGCCGCCTCGGCTTGGAAGATGTACTTTCTGCCTAGGAGCGTGTTCGGCTTCTTCGTGACCAGAAAGTCTTCCTCTCTTTGCATCTGCTTTCGCCCCCCCACACCTGACGTACAAATCATGAGGTGATATCACAGGTGTCCGGTCTCAGGTCGAGCGTTCTAACAGGTAGTGGGTGGTCGTGCCATGTTTTCTCTGTCGTTTGAAGTTGTTGTTGTTGCATACTACATAGTCTGCGGACAACATAGTCTTCCACTTGAAAAAAAAGTTGGGTTTCTCTCTGCCCAGTGCCTTCTTTTGTCCGTAATATACTAGTCTATTGAAAGTTATGACGAAAGCTCTTCCGTGGCTGATTCTGGAAACTTCCATGTAGGCTGTGTCTTAGCTCCATTTAGGATGTATCTTAGCTCGACACTAAACTACAGCAGTTCATCTCAAGACACACAGAAATTACGAAAACACGGAAAATACGAAAATATTATACACACCTCCCTCGTACTCACCTTCGTCATGAGCAACTAATCTCCACCTCTGCTGCTTGTCCTGGAAGCTTCAAAGATCATCTCTTCTTCTTCGGTTGGCTCCTAAAGAATGAAGTCCATCGATTCACCCAGCAGGGTACAGAGGTGTCTGGTGCCCTGGTCTACCAGACCGAAAATTTACAATCCTGCAAGTGAGCCTCGCGTGGCCTCTGGGGCTGCGTCCATATTCCGTGCAGACTAGCAATAAGGTCCGTTTAGCGTAATGGTCCGCTACAAGTTTGGCCGGGATGTCCCCCGGCCGTCTGCTTCAGTAAAGAGAATAGACAGCCGTGTACTTGCGGCTGCCACCAAGTACTTCATGGGAGCACGGGGGATCGCAGTTTTCCTCTGAAAAATACAGCTGATTTCGACGAAAAATATGCTTACGGTTTCAAAAAGGGAACTAACGAGACTGTGAAATGTGGTCCAACGAGAGTGGCGGGGTGGCGGAAACCGGCCGAATCGCACAAAATTACAGCGTGATCACAGCTGGGCTGCTGCGGGCCCGTGGCGTCGTCTGCTCCAGCGTCGTCATGGCGGACCCACAAGATAAAGATTCGACCATGGTACCCAAGTAGACCCTTCCTGAAGTTTTGGTGCCATGTGGGTGACTGTGAGTAGACTAGAGTTCGCAACACACGATTTTGGCATGCCGACCACGCTGGATGATGGCAAAGGCCAGATACGCATGAAGTTCCACGAACGGCGAGTGCAGGCTGCCGATCAATGCGAGTTTTTGCCACAGCACATAACTGCTGTATGCTGTACAGATTGCGAAAGAATGGGCGAAATTGGTTCAAAACAGCAGTAGTCTACTCAGTTTTTGTGAGCAGCAGTGGTTTATTTGGAGACAGCCGCAGAACCTCCCCTCCGAAAGTACGGCGCCCGGAAATCTGCCCTCGAGGGCAGGAGGGGACCGGCCTGCCCTCAAAACGCCTCCGGAACTAGCCTTAATCAGCGATGAGCAAGAAACATACAAGTGCAATAAACCAGCGGCTAGAGTTCGCGACGGCAGGACAACCTAAACATAAACTAACCATACTCTCTCTTCCTCAAGCGCGAGCGCACTTCGTGTGGGTATGTCATACTTGCGTAGAAGTCGTTGCGCTCGAGGATGGGTCGTAAAAGATCCGCGAGCTTGTCATCCTGTACATGCGTCGGAACAGCTTCCTGCGCCTCACGTCTTCCAAGTGCTCGTCCCAATCCAGGCGTCGCGGCTCGTGGATAGGTTTCCGCGCCTTGGGTGCTAGGCGCTGAATGACAGTCGATGTGGCGACAGTCACCACCAGCACGATCGCCGCTATTGCCTTGAGCTTGTTGAGGACATCCTGTGTTAGATATACTCGCAGCAGTATCTGGTCGTGAGGATCCCAGGGGAACACGTGTTGGGAATTTCGTGTGTTGAAGGGTACCAGTGGCGTAGTCACGGGGACCCACCCTTTGGGCGTCGGTCGGCGCCCGGAAATCTGCCCTCGAGGGCAGGAGGGGACCGGCCTGCCCTCAAAACGCCTCCGGAACTAGCCTTCACAGAACCAGTTTTTGAATTGATCTGCTGCACCCAGCACATGACGCCCCAGCAGCACAACACAGCAGACGAACAATAGCAGCAGACCCCTCGGGCTTGTACCCCCAACGGGTTAGGACTTTGGTGTAGACCACCAGCCGTGACATGGATGCTGCACATGCTCACACTTCGCAGAGCTCTGCTCTCTCGGCCGTTCCTACCGCAAGAGATGAAACTGGGAGCAGCAGCAGCTGCAGTGCGTTGGATTTCACCTCGCGCGCGACAGGACTGCGCGGACATGCAGAGACTTATGGTCTGGGAGAAGAGGACGTGTTGGGCATAGACGTTGGCGACGACTCCGCCGCTGGTCAAAGCGGAGGAGGATTTGGCGATAGCACCGCCCTGCCAGCTCCAGCTTTTACCACAGCCCTCCCAGCTCCAGGCACCGCCCGTCTGGCTCCGAGCACCGCCCCGCCAGCTCCAAGCACGTCCCCTCCAGCCATAAGCACCGCCGCGC